AAAAGATTGCTTGTAAAATTAAACATAGCTCAATTAATGAATAATTTCATATCTAATTACATTAAAACTTCATGAATTCATTCAATCTTCCGTCTTATATGTAGTTTACGAGTAGTATAATAGACGTCTGATTTGAGCTATCAATAGACTGATCAGACTCGCCCCAGATACACATCCAGCTATTGTGTGCATCCGTTTGGTTTACTGAGATGTACAATACCAGCATGGAATTACAAATACCTTATGTATAGGATTATTAGTAAGACATTCCATAGAATCCATTAGTAAGACTTTATTTCACGAAATACTGCAAAAATTAACAGCTGATTTTCACTTCGATTAATTATTAGCGCTCTCATAGTAGTTTTCATGAATACAAGAAGTTAAAAAACTAATTTTTCACATCGATTTGGTTTGATTTTTTAAAATTGAAACCAATGATATTAAAAAAAATCTTGTCAAAAACCGTAGTAATGACGGAACATATAATATGAAAAAGAAATGAAAATAGAACAGTAAAAATATTTTTAAAGTATATTTTACTACATAGTTTTTTTGGTTGTAGTCGTCATTTAAACATCACGTCTTCTACAACCTGAGTACACATTTCTTTATATGTAATACTTACTCCACGCACCCAAGTATTCCATATCGAATGTTTTATAAGCTATCACCATTACTCATTGAATTTATTTTCCATATATCTTTTTCTCATATCTAAACGATCCGATCAGATAAAGCTATTGATTGCCTCGACCAAATCAATTTAATGAATGGGACGTGAATTATTTGATTGGTATAAAGCAAACAAAACCTATGACTTTGATTCGTATTCGAAGTACCTATTGACAAAGCAAGTATTGATTGAAAAGTCGATTGTTATTTCAAGGAATTGATACAATCTTTTTTCCATGTACATCTGTTTTAATGTAGTTTGATTTCTGAAACCCGAAGATGAATAATTAATATAGAAAAAATATTTTAGTGTCCTTACAATAAATTTTATATGAATCAAAATATTTCATTTAATTCATATATTTTAAAGAGTTATTGCTTTAAAATTTAGATGAATAAATAAATTTTCAGTAAGGAAAACATTTAAAGAAATACGATGTTCCCGGTATAAGGAATTTATATTATCCACAATTTTAATTTCATACCAAGTTTTGCTATTTCATGATATTAATAAAGCTTATAATTAGATAAGTATAAAAGCAGTACTACTCGTATGTAAAATATCCCTAGTACAAATTATAAAATAAAATCCTGATTTAATGAATTCTGAATAGCATTTCTAATAACAATAATTCCTCATTATCAAACAACCCCTCTTGAAGTCGGCAAAACATTTCGATTTTGTTCAGTTTACGAATTTTTTTGGAGCAACGTAAATAAATTTTAGTTTGTTGAAATGTATTTTGTCGTATATAAACTCCATTGAAAACAAACTTCATACACGGGTATTGGTTTGCGAGACCTGGTCTTATATTTAAAATTACATTGTTTTTTATATCATGCTTTATATGAGAAAATATGTATAAGTTCCTAGACCAAAAGAAAATATACATTACAGAAGTGGAATCTCTCCGTAGATATGCTCTCAAGATGTAAGATGTGACATTCTAACAGTAATAGTATTTTATTTCTCGTTGGAAAGGACAAGAATACTTGAATATTTTTCAAATAATACAATCATTTCTTCATCTGCAATAACAGAATGCTTTGTAATGGAATGACTCACGATGTAAATACAGTAATATATATATAAGAATATGAGCCTTTTTATATTAATTATATCAAGCGTTCTTTCATAATGACCCCTTTATCTCATCAGTATAGTACATAATAAAACTAGGGCAATTTACTTCACTACTTTATTATAATCTTTGTTAACGCCTATTCTAGCATTAAAAAACCAGTTAATCGGAATCAATAAAAAGAAATAATTATAATATTTGGGCCTGGAACAGGGATTTATTCTCAATTTTTTTTGTCTTCGTGGAGTTTTCTCGATAGAAAATATTTCCTTTACTGGATCTTAAATTATACCCATACTAAATTGAGACTAAACGGTGAACATTTTGTTCAATCGTGTCATTTTTCTTCGTATTATTATAACGGAGATTACTTCTAGGGAATGACTTTTATGCGTAAAAGTTTGATATCTTAGAGTAATTCAGGTAGATCTATTCTTTGGGATACAATACCCTATTTGACAGGCTCAAGTTACCAGGCTTATTGAAGGTCATTAGGTTTTGATTCATATATAAAAAAATTAAATTGAAAACAGAAGACGGTTAAAGGGCCTAGAGGTTAAAGGGCCCACCTCTCCTGAATGAGGGTATGGATTCGACTTCTCCGAGGGAGTAGAGGACGTGGTGTGCCTAGAGGGGTAAACATAGGGCCCACCTCTCCTGAATGAGGGTATAGATTCGATTGTCTATATGATTTATAAAGGTGTGTACTGTCTAAGAGTATTTAGATACCACGAATATTTGGTTAAGGAACACATCATGAGAAAATCATGACTTACGATTTCAAATTATGAAATATAAGCTTAAATTTTTAAAAATAAGCTAAAAACAATGTCCAATTTTTGTGTTCATAAGATTTTTTCTGTAACTTATCTCTTCGTGATGTATAGTAGTATAAGTATTGTATTGTTTCATTAGTCGTCAAAGATTGACTGTCTCCTTTTATCAGTTGAACAGTACTAATTACACGTCGCTCTGATTGGATGCTGGTGATAAATGCAGATTAAAACCTATTTGTAATGAAACAATATATACAATTAGGTACAAATTGTATAAAGTAATATTTTGCGCAAAATTCATACAAATTTATTTAAATCTTTACGTGTCTTTATAATGTTAAAAATATCAATTCAATTGGATTAGAAATAGTAAAGAAAAAATTATATCAATTACCAGAATGCAGCTTACTCCAATTTTTATATACATATATATACTTATTATATTATAATATATATGTATAAATATATAACTTACTGTGTATTATAATCAGTATTAAATAAACAATAGGCTGGAATGTATAATTATAATGCTATCTTCGTTTTTAAATACATTATTAGTTCTCAAATATCTTTTGTAATTTACGATACAATCAACGCACATCACTCACTAACAATAGGCCTACCTTCTCACTAATTATGTTTTTGTTTCTATATTGCTTTCTCATATACATCTTCTTAATTGCGAATATTTTCGTTGAGATTTAATTATTTTTTCAAAAAGTTAATAATGCAGGTATATCTATTATAAATCAATAAAAATTATTAAAGAAATACAACATTATAGGTTTATTCATTTTTAAATAAAAAATTTCAAAGATACAAAGATAACCATGATTTAGATATTTTAATAGAATTTTAATTACTTCGTGGTATTATATCTATGGTAAAAACAACAAATGCCCCAAAATTTTGCCCTCTTTTTACTAGTTGCTTTGATTTAATATGATAGAACTCTGCGAAGATCCTTCTTTTCACCAAATTACTGAAGATCAATTCCAACTTTTAAATTATTATTTATATTCAGAACCAATCGGTAGAACAAACATTAGCAACACGAATTCCAAGAAAACTTTTATCGGAACGGAATAGATTTGTTATAGTGAAAGTAGTGCATCTATAAGTAAAGAGGGGCTGATTTGAAATAAAAATAAATCGGTTAGTAAGCCAGCTGTCTGCAGTGACACAGATTTGTAGCTATGTAGGTAATCTGGGTCTCAACCGAGTTCTGTTCCAGACGAATGCTCCCATATTTAAAATTCTTGCTTAAGTAGACCGTGTAACGTATCTTGTAATTGAATCTATGAATAAAATTTTTAAATAGTTTCAAACGACTGTTAATCAAACGATGTTATAAAATTAATTGTTTATACATAAATAAAAATATGAAATATCCTTTTATGAATGTGGTTATATATGGGGACAGTCCATTATGGTAGACGCATTAGAGGGCGATTTGGACGTTGAAACCTACGGTAATAAAAAGGTATTGTATGCTTTTATCCTGAATGTACATAAGTACATATGTTTGTATGTGTGTGTGTGTGTGTGTGTGTGTGTGTGTGTGTGTGTGTGTCAGTATGTATGTAGTATTGTACAAAGTGTGCTCTTTTAATAAACTGTACATTGTCCATAGATGAGCTATTCATAACATGAATCGGTTGTCTAATAATCAGACTGTCTAGTTTTCTGTTTACAATATGAATTTTCTTTTACTATGATTTTTTTATTAAACTTTATTCAAAATCTTAACAAAATTATAGAAGCTTCAATAAAATAGAATTCATATAAGAAAATGACTATTATGTAATAAATGAACAAAAATATGGACTAAAAAATCCATCTGATATTGTATATTTTATATCGCCTTAAGATACTTTGCATTTGGAATACTATTATTATGATAAGCATTTAAGTAGAAAAGAAGAAGTATCTATTGATAGGGTTTAGATAAAAGTCAGAAGAAGAAGACTGAGCTTCAAGTCCATATTAATGCAGGAATTAGTGAGCTTTAAGATGAAACCCATCCTTAAGATATTTTTTTTCTTGGCCGAGTGACTTGAATTAAAATTTCTCACTTGTTTGAATCAAAAATAAGGTAAATAAAATATTTTTCTTGTGATTCCTAAACTCGTCGTCAGTTATTTTCGATAAAAAGAAACTTTAACACCATCACAACCATAATTAGATTTTAATAATACTAAAGATTTTCCATATTTTAATATTAGAGATTGCTATCTCGACGAAATACTTTATTAATTTTTTAAAAAGAAATATGTGACTAAACTTAAGTGATAAAGTAATATTTCAGGTTCATTTTCAGTCACAAAAATAATAAAGCGACTAAATTATCATCTGTATTTAATTACAAAACAAAATGACTCCAACAAAAACTCAACCATTTTTTTAATAGTACGTAAAAAAATATCTATATTATAAAAAAATAGTATATTCTCACAAAATAACTTGCCTTCCAATCCGTAGAATCCGCTCGCATTGCCTCGCACTATGATATTGTACGTTTGCTTGTCAGACAGAAACTTATCCACTTTTACATAACAATGTACACGCAGAACAATACCCAATACTCACACATACTAATATTTACGACGATTTATACAATGACCGATATATCGTAGACGTGCTACGAGCTACGTCTACGAGAGAATACTGCCGTAGAGCTACTGCTACAGAACTGCGAATGGTAATATAGTATTTCTATCTCTCTCTTGATTGTAATGTTATATATGCCTGTCTCTCTCATCAAATACGTATCTTAATACGGTGGATAGCTGACTGTTTGTCGAAGGCTTCAACTGGAATCATTGTTGCCGTTTTGGCATTAAGAATTTTCTTTTGTTGAGAGTGTGATTTCTTCGTAAGGTTAACATTTATTGTATGTATTTATTTTGTGACAATTTTTTTTTATATTTAATTATTTATTCATATTTTATATTTACATGCCTTTTTAAAACTAAGGTATTATAGTAAAATAAGTGGATGCAGCAATAAATTGATTCTTCATACCTTATTTATCACTTTTAAATCTTCTTATATTTTATACTTTCCTAGATGAATATCCCCAATCAATTGTGATTAATTAAATACCTTAAAAATATTTATAAATCTTTTGAGAAGATTGTTTGATAAAAAACACAATAAGTAATAAATTATTTTATATAACATAAATACCTAAACAAATATATCAAAAAAAATAATAATTTCAACAGTGACTCTGTTTTAAAACGAGCACTTAAAAATAAACCAATACCTTAAAATTCAAAATTTAACCTGTAAACAATTAATTCAATTTTTTTAATACGAAACTTCACCCAGCGTATTTTTGCACTAAAATTTTAAAGCGAGTTCATAAATCGTTGTTTAAAAATAACACAATGACATTGTAACTAAAAAAAGAAACTTTGTAATTAAATTTAAATTTTTCCTTTGGAACATAAAAAACTGTAAATTTATAATTTATAAGTTCAACTTAAAGTAAAATTATTATTAAACGTCAAAAGCTTTAGATGCAAGAACCCAACATGAATAAAAAAAGATGCTTAGAGTTATTGAAAATAAGCCGAAAAAAAATTCTCAAACTAATAAAAAAATCAATGCCAATATATTTTTTCCTTAAAAACTCGTATACAATGAAATAAATAGTACAAAATAAAAGACTTTTCTTTTCACATACATAAAAAACTCTATACTTTATATACAAAGAGTTCAACAGTAATATAAGTTAAGCAATAGAATTAATATTGCAAAAATAAAGGACTTTCCTTTTCAATTACATAAAAAACTCATTTATATTTATTAGTATATATATTTATGTATGTATGTATGTATTTTATGTATCTATTTATATATGTATGAGTATATATATATAAGGATAAGGCACCACCTACCTTTCGCTGCACAATTTCCCCAAATCAAAGGTTGTCTGGCAGAAATCGCTATTTAGCGATAATATTTTGTACATTCCAATTTATTATTTTTTTTTTCTTTCCGTGTAAAATTTACTGTTTGTGGTGTACAATAAAGTATATTCTAAAACTCTATACTGTATATAAAGAGTACTACTATAAAGAGTGCAACAGTAATATAAGTATAAAGAGTACAACAGTAATATAAGTATTGATAAAATCAATAGATGTGAACGACCTAGTGAACAGCCAAGGGCGCTTCCGTGATCAAGGATGGCGTCTGAACGTCTGCGGACCTTGGATCGTATAAAATATGATTGCTTACACGACCTTCAAATGTTAACAGTTTTATTTTCATTTGATTTCACTCTTCAGTATGTTACTGAAACTTAAGGTTTAGGTCTGATAAATATAGGCTTTACTTATAATTTGTGTATGTGTATATATACATATCTTTCTTTCTTCTTTTACCTGGCAATTTCCCAGCTTTAGGCAGGGTCTGCCTTACATGTTATGAATAGTTTTGGCTAATTGTTTTTACGACCAGCCGCCTGCCTGACATCAACCCTCTTTGGGAATGCATTAATGTGTATATATACATATATATGGTTTTATTAAATATATCGCATTTATATTTTATAGAACTTGCTTAAATGATAAATTCTAAAAGTAAAAAGTTTTTTTAGTCTCTCAGTCTTTAATTCATTGATATAATTTTACGAGACTTAAAACTAACATTAGAGTATATATTTAACATAAAATTATAAGGAAAATTACATAATTAATTACATAACACTAAAACTGCTTTCTTGAACCAACTATTCATACATCATTTAGTTGAAGCCTTTGTATAGAGTCATTCAATATAGCAAGTTCAGTTCAAATAAACCTTTAACATCGTTTGTAATGAGGCGGTTAAATTTAGATTGTTCAATTATTACTTGATGACTTGTAAAATATAATTGGTTTGATTACACAGCAATATCTCAAGTGGAAGTAACAGGGTTAAGTTCATACAAAAGATTCATTCATTGCTGTTATGATATCGATGAATGGATTCTATTATATACGAATATATATATTTAGTCAGTGGTGGCCTTGTGGTTAAAACGCCCGCCTCTCATACACGAGGGCACGGCTTCGATCTTGACCCTGCCAAGTACCAATGTGATTTTTTTACATTCTATGAGTATTTAGACATCACTGATTAATGCATTCCCAAAGGAGGGTTGATGCCTGGTAGATGGTCGGTCGTAAAAACAATTAGCTAAAAGTATTCACAACATGTAAGGCAGACCCTGGCTAACGCTGGGAAATTGCCAGGTAGAAGAAGATGTATATATAATATATATTAGATTTAGTTTCATGAGAAGGTAACTATTGTTCTGCATTAAAAGATAGGATACTTTTAGTGTCATAAATCTCTGTAATAGCCGACCTCTATAAAATTCAAAAAGGCGAGGGAAGTCGTTTGAAAAATGTAACATATATATTCAGTCAGTTTTATAAAATCCTAACTAATTCCTAACACTATTTAAAAGTCATTATTTCATTACAAACTTCAGTGTCATTATATAGCTAAGATAAAAAAGATTATTCTTTCTGATATTAATGTTAGTCGTAACATCACGTTTGCTTCAAATTGTTTTATATAATAATTGTTATATGTCATCCATTAAAATATTGATTTTGATGATATTAATAAACATATTAGTAAAACAATAACATTATATTTCAATTGGCGAGTGCTCTAGTATGAGAATTGTTCCGTATTTTATTATATAGAATCATTGTACATATAAAAGATAAAAATATTGGCGGACAAACTATAATTAGAAAAAAAAATAGGTACTTAAAAAACGATTCATTTCTAATGTTCCATGTGTGTTATGTCTTGATAAGAACTGCCTACAAGACAAACAAAAAGCAAAAGATAAGTAGATGTTAAAACTTAAACAATTTAAAAGACACAATTTCTTCTTGGCAACCATTAGGCATAATCACAGCATTTAACCGCATAGTAAGTAAGAAATCACTTACGAAACTTGTATGAAAAAACAAATAATACAAAAAATTGAGAACTTCAATGTATTAAATGACTTTGAAATGGGTTTGTAGTATGTAAATTTGTCATTCTTTTCCCAGACGAAATAGTTTTTTTGCATCGCCCCATACATGTTTCTACTTTCAAATCTATAATGTAAGCTGGTCAAGAATATAACTTAGTATTGAGCTAGATTTTGGTCACACATTTGTATATATATGTATGTATGTGCAATAAAAATAAATCAATAAATAAATAAAGGTTATATGAGGACTCTTCAAGGAAATAACTCCGAAGGCAGTAACAGAAGGTTCAAGGATAATATTGACTGGCGTCTACTAGTCTATTAGAAGTAGTTAAAATGACATTGCATATTGCTGTAACAATTTATAGACCTTGGCATATAAAGAGCCCTTGGAACCGTCCAAGCGATAACACGTTTCTTGATTTTTCTTGATTGTATTTACATCACAGTTTTATAAACGATATATTTTTTAGAAATTTTATATCTTTTGATTTCGTAATCGTTCGTCATTACTTATAAGCATCATAATAAAAATTACTACAAGTATAAAAAAGATATGAAAATAAAAACATCAGTGATGTATTTTAAAAATATTTCTTATTTAAGAAATAGACATTTTAAATTCGATACGCCAGACCTCATTAGAGAAACGACAGTTGTCCGCAAAACCTTGAACGTTGGTGGCCAAAAATGTATATAACGCTGTATTAATTTGTTATGGAATATAATTTACTTTAAGATGTCTTGTTTTCTTCAAATACGAATCATAAAAATAATGAGGATAAGGATTTTTTGTACTTAATTATATTACATAAATATCGTCTATACATTTTAAGATAAATATTATGAAATGTTAGGACAGTTTTAACTAGAGTAGAAGTTATTTTTAATAAATAATAGTGTTCTGTACAAAATGAAGAAAATTCTAATGAAAAAAACTGAAAACATTCAAACTTATTTGCTAGAATAACAGTATGGTTGTATAAGTAAATGAAAAAAGTATTTTATATCCTTAAACAAAATACTATGAAGTGCGTCGAGTACATAGTATTTACATATGTAGGTTTTCAGAAACATGTTCACATTAGAAGTAGTTCTGGTAGATATTTTAGATATCCTTATATACCGTACACCGAGGTATCCTAATATTTAAGTTTTTTTGTTACTTATGCCTAAATATCTAAATTATTTTCTGAATTTTATTTAATACCAATTATTTTTTAGCAAACATCTCTCATATTTCTCCTTATGAGTTCTTAATGTACCAAAAATAAATTTAATTACGATGGTTTTCTCGGAATTTTCTATACATTATTATTGAATCTTCTAATTCAAGCAATTAATTATTATTTATCATAATAAGATGAGTAAAGTCATATTTAAATATAAAAAATATTCTTTTATTTAAAACGTAGTGAAAAATAATGATACAGAAATATATTTTGGTTTTGAAAAACCGTAGAAATAAATAAATTTACTTCCCTTTCATTCAATTAACTGCTGAAATACCATTTTCATAAAACGCTGTGTGAGCGAGCCACGACCCCTATTTGTTTAGGATAAGCCCTGAATTATGGCTCAATATGTCGTCTAAAGATAATGTAAACGATTTATTAAACTCCTTATAATATAAACAAAATATCTAAAAGTCATAGTTCTAAAATAATGGTAAAGTTCTTAAGAAAGTGTGTATTCATTTATCTGAAATATTTTTTTATAATATTTTTGCTTTTACTCTAAATTATGAAGTAACTCGTTTAATTCTAAAAACTACTCGTACAAATTAACAGAAAAACGATTAAAACTGAAAGTTACACTCAAAGGGAAGATC